CAAAATGTAGTAGCGATGTCTCATGAGATAGACGTCTTTTCCATGTTGTTTTTCTTCATTAACAGACTCCTCTGACCGCGGTACCAAGCCTCAGCTGCTGGCAAATCACAAGAGGCAAACCCACATAATTCTGCTATCATCCGTAGCTATAGAAGCCTTTCCAATCGTGTTATGGGTGCGCAAGTCGACGCATTCAGCAAAAGTATTGCACTTTTTTTATCCTTTCCTAAATCTAGCTCTCTCATCACAAAAGTGCATGTTTCCTCATTAAAGTTCTGCTCGCGCTGGGCTCTTCCCGACGAGGTCTTTGCTCTCTACTTCCCACATTACACCCATAAATCTCTTTGCGTTTTCCTTCGTTTGAGAAATTTTCTCCAATTGTTGCTTCATTGCTTTAAGGGCTATTTCACTTCATAGCTCACTGGTGAAATTCTTTCCTCCCAGATCAGATCTGCCAGATCAGACAATAGCCTATGATTTCTAATAATAAATGTTAACAATTTCCATGATTCGAGCAATGAAAAATATAAATTTCACAGCGAAGCCGTCTAGTTTAGTCTGATCATAGCAATCAAGTTTCGTTGGAATCTCGATAATAATCGACCGCCACCTGTTTATTTACAAGTGTCTTAGCCGACGAGCATTGAAAATTCCGCCTTGAAGTCTCTATTTTTGTGTTCTTTCTTTATTAACTGTCTTTTTTTAAAGCGTCATAAAACGGCAAGGTTAAGAATCGAAAGAACTTTGAGACACCACGCTACCTTGGAACTTACCCATGATGCTCTGCAAGTTTGACTTCATGGTTTCGCATAAGTCTTCTTTCAAGTCAAATGAAAAAAATCTTGGCTTTTAGCCAAAACATTGTTTTGAAATGCTATTAAATGTCACACGTACTGATTTAATTACTTTACTAAAGAAAGAAGGCACCCGAAATAACCGTTTTATCGTTGGCCTTGTTTCCATGCAGAGCGATAATTCTTTAAATAAACGAGTACGTAAGAATTGGGAAAGCTACCCTTTCGCGATTGCTGTCAAATGAATTTGTAAAGTCTTTCATATACATAACCTTTCATCAGATATCACTCACCTATTGCGTCCCTGAGTGGTACCGAGAGCCTCTCTGACCCATGGACTAATTGCTGACAGTCTGTAGATGTTCAGAAATGACTTTACGGCACGACACTAGCTTTTATTTATTTATTTATTTATTTATTTATTTATTTAAAGATTCGTACAGTATACAGGCGAGAGAACAATAGGACGCGTAGTCCCCTACTGGGTCCACTGCTGAAGTAATATTAGCCGAAGTATCAAAAGAACGACCTTTTTCTCGACCTAGCTGTTTTAATCTGCAAACAGTTTCCATCCCAGCCAATTTCTGTGAATTTTGTAACTAATTTAGGAAGAACGTTGTTAACTCAACAGAGATTCTTTGTTTGTATTAGTGATTTCAAATGGCACATCGTTTCTCATACCTTATCCTCAGGTCTAGTTGACCCTATCTATTTCATTCTGTTGCCGGCTCCATACTTAGTATTCTTCTCCTATTTCAATCATTTTGTGCTCTGCCTCTGTTTCCCCTTTACTCTGACTCCTGATCCTTTCCTTAATTTTTTTCCATAGCTATTTGTTTTTTTTTGTTCTGCTAATTGGTTATGTCACTATTACATTGAACTCTGCATGAGATCCCCGCTGAGAAGTTAAAAAGTTTCAAAGCAATGACTAACTGATAAGAAAAATTATCATATAAACAAGCTAGTTAAAAACGTTACTCATGGATATTCGGGGCCGTAAAATTGCAAGATCGGAACAGGATTGAAACAGTTTTAGTGAGTCACATTTACACTAGTATCAGATTGCTTCCCGTCTTCAACGTCTTTGGCAAAGAACATTTGACCTATCACATATACTTAAATCGTCCTCTTTCAAGTCCACAATGCAGCTCAATTTTAACCCAGAACTTTTCTTAAACCTATAGATGTTCGACTACACAAAGAAAAACAGACGCCCTCCGTTAGATTACGCAATGCAAGTAAGTAAGTAACTCAACTTTATTCAAGTTTCGTGTAACTTTATCATGTTGTTGTCAATTGGGGACACCGAAACATAAATAACAAAATAAGACTAATATATTCATACTATAAGTGGTAGAAATAAAGAGTGTGTATAAGCACAATGTTAAAAATTGTAGGAATATAATTTAGGAGGAGGGTGATCGTGGTTCGGAAAGGATCATGGGTGATTTAGAGAATCTCGCTTCATTTGAGCCGACCTTCACCGCGTTCGGAGCTCTCGGTGCTGTGCTCTCTTATGGATGCCATAACTACCAATGCGTTTGGTGTCGATTTTTTGCAGCCTCATCGAAATTTGAATCTCCACTGAATTGATTTTGACTTTCGGCATGTCTGCACTGTGAAGTCATTGCCCTTTTTGGCCTTGAAATTGGTCGGTGGACACATTAGCTTAAACGATAAACTTGACGAACGCCGAATTGTATTTTTCCCCGACGGAAAAAAAGTCAGGGAGCTTGCAGAAATTTCTCCCTGTGCTATCGAAGTACGGAGTAGCTGTAATTTAGAGGTAAGAGTTCTGGAATATTTCTAAACTATATAAAGTCAACTCGATCTTTTCGTAAAAGCGTTTGTTTTGCAAGTCGCGCGATTGTACGAGATTGCCTTTCAAACGCATAAAGTTACTTAATTAGGCTTTCTTTTGGTTTCTTCAGATTTTGAGCCTCAATAATCTGTATAAATGTATTATAGTTTTTGAAGCTCAACTGAAATCGTGTTTAATGATGAGTTCAACCGTCTTAAAGGACCATCAAATGAAAATATAATACTTATTATTCGCCCGGCGTGCGGGAAGTGTTTCTCGCCCTCTAACCAGAATGTTTTGAAAAGTTTTTAAGTTCTACGGCGGACATCTCATTTGTGTTATATGATAATATTTGTATGTTCTGTCTAAATATTATTTATTTATTTTAGCCATAGTTCTATCTTGTCGTGTGGCGCTGTTTGCAAGTCTCACATCACCTTGCCACGACTACTACGACTTAGTAAAATCGCTATAACTTGAAAATGGTAAGAGGTACATTGGGGTTCATGGCAATATTTAGCTTCAGCATATATTCCAGCATCTTTCTCTGTCAATTTTGGGAGTATTCATCGCGTTTGATAGAAGTTAGAAGCATTTCAGCACGCGCAAAATTTGTCCGAAGTTGAACGTTGTGGGTTATGAGCGACTCTCCTTTGAGAGAAGAGAAACAACACAAATATATCTTACCTTCCAAAAATTCACGCCACGAAAGACCTTCGTTTAAGTATTTTTGATTCTGTATAAAATTATTTCTGTCAAAATAAAGTTCCTCAACTTTTAGTCTATACCTCTCTCCAAATTCCTCAACTTTTAGTCTATACCTCTCTCCAAATAGCAAAAAGTGAAAAGATGTTTAGGTGTAACCTGATTGGCGACTGAACATCACGTGGAACGTGATCACCCTCCCCTGGAAAAGACCAGTGAATGAATAATGATAATGAATGATTATAGTTTAAGAATCAAATAGAAAACAGCCAGTTGGACATTTCTCAAGCAAAAAGCTTTCTAGGTCCATTTTCTTAATTTGTCTTTTTAAAACTCTTCGAGTCACATTGTGTCCGTACATTTCCCTGTAATTTGCACCATAAATAAGGCCTTAGATGTCCGATAGAATGGTTTTCATAGGTTACAGTATTATATCTCCGTATAAGAAAGTCTGGTGTACGTAAATTGTTATTAGTTTCCATTGTTTGGAATAATTCAGTGATGTACTTTGTGGGTTGAACATTAACACCATCAGGTCTTGTAGTCTTCTATTACGTAATGTAGGTAATCCTGCTTTGTTTAACAGATGTTCGTATGTTCATGCACTGTCCTGGAAAACCGCTCTCATTCCTTTTTCCTGTATCATCTCCAATTTCCGCCGATCAGATGCTCTAATGAATAGCCAAACAAGTGAGTAATAGTTTAGCTTCGGGATAATTACCGCTTTAAACAATGCAACTTCGTCTTTTCGAGAACTAGGCTCTTCATCCTCAACAGGACACCAATTTTGCAGTTTGCTTTCTTACAGACTTGTTGAATGTGTGCAACAAAACTAAGTTTATTATCTATAAGGACTCCTAACAGTGATAATGAACTTATGCATTCACTTTCTTCATTATCAATGACAAATTTGCGTCTCTTGCCTATTCTTTGCTTTTGACGCTAGAAACATTCTGAGCAACACATGGCAATCTGCGGTCTTTCCTTACACTTAGGTAGCACGGAAAGCGGAAAACTCTTGAACAAAAGCTCATCTTTCAAATCGGCAGTGTAAATCCCGCAGGTATCAACGAACGCTTTTCATTCCACTAATTTATTCCTGTTTTTCTCGTTGCCATGTTCCCACCAATCACGTAGCTCCTTTTTCTGCCTTTAGAAGCACACACAACCCACAATTCCCTTATTCGCTCCGACGAAGGGCTAACGCTCGAGACGTCAGCTTTTATAATCGTAACGGTGGCCAATTCACCATTTGAACTTGATTGGTTGACTGACTGACTAGTGTTTTCTTTATGGATTTCAACGCAGTCTAATGAAAAAAGTGTGTATTGGCCTGTTTGCAGACTTTTTTTTGCAAAACCGTGTTTTTGAGTCCGATTTGGGCTAGAACAAAATAAGCGTTTTTCACTCCCGGGTCGTATCTCGCTGAAAATATTGCTTCTGAACTATGATGAGTTTTTTAGTAGATTTAAAGGAATTCTTTCGTTTTTGGCTTGTATCTAGAAAGTTTTTGCAAAACCAGCGCCACCGAGTTATTTGGCTCTGACTGACTAATGGCTGACTGCATGACTGACAGTAGTAGGGATAAGGCGGGTTCTGGCTCATTTTCGTTAAATTATCGTACTGTCACGATAATTTAATACAAAATCATCTTTTAGCATTTTCAAATTCAAATTATTCAGGCCGGCCGGCCGGTCTGTTCATAAATGTCCGATTGCGTATGTGTTCACTCTGTCTGGGAGAATGATTCGCTTGTCATCATCGGCGGACAGAGCGACTTTGTTGATCTCCTCCATAAACATCTCATGCTTTCGACTCCGAAGCGTGTTCATTTTTCGATGTTGTTTTCCACCACCAAACAGACATCTCTTATAGTCATCAAAGCTGATTGTACTCTCCACCACCCCCGTCTTCACTCCCTTACACTTCTTCTTCTCATCTCCCCCATCAAACATCTTGTAGCTGTAAAGCTTCGCCCTCAGACCGACAAACTCCTCAATGATTTTTCCACGCGCCTCATCTTTGAACTTTCCAATAACTTTCTTGTTCACCCCAGTTGGTATCCCAGAAGAATGTTCTTTTGAAATGTTGCTCGTGTCAAACAGACAATCCACATCATCAATTATGTCTTTGTAAAAGTCTTTAGTCTGAATCTCATGACAGAGACTGTCAGTGTCGGTAAAGAGAAGCTGTACTCTGTCTCCATACTTAGATTTGATGTAGTTGTAATGAAAGTCATACATCAGAGTCTTGCTGAGATCGAGGATGCACATTCCGAGATAGAGAGGTTTATTGAAGCAAACCTCTGTCTTCCTCATCTCTATTGCACAGAGATTCTCGGAGAAGATGGTGCAGTGTTTGAAGTTGACCTTATTTACCAACTTCTTCGCCTTCTCTTCTGAGTTGACAAGTCTCACATCAACCCGTTTCCGAATATTATCCATCGTCTTGCCATATACAGAGTTGTTCATGAGTTTGAAAAAGTCCTTCTCGAAATCGTTGTCAGCCTTAGCTCTCAACTCTGTATTCAAATCGATGTACTTCTTCATCCAAGGACTCTCTTTAAACCTGATGATGCGGTGAATCTTTCCAATCTCAATTCCAAGACTCATGTAAAGCTTCAAAGCCTCATGGTGAATGATGTACTTCTTTTTACCATTCAAGGTGCAGACCAGCTTTTTTACTTTCCCAACCAACAGATTCTCAGCAGCGAGGGGATAGTCGTTAAAGAAATCATGCAGCTCTTCCTTAACAGGAAGCAAGTCGACCTCAAGAATGCAGGGAAAATTCTTCCAATCTTCAAAGTCTTTCTCATCTACCCATTCAAAGCCATGCGTTGGTAGACTCTTGCTCATCGCCCAACCATAAAGGTTGTTTGCGTCAAGATACGTGATAAAATTTGAAGGTTCGCTCTTGTCAAACATCTCTCCCATATATTTGTTGTTGGCTTTCGAGTGTCTTGTTGAAATCATTGAGATACCTCCACGAATACCATTCTCAAACATGTGCAACATATTTACATCGCTCAACAACTCAAGCTTTGCCTCAGTCATCTTGAGACATGCATCCCAAGCCAACCCAGGCGCCGTGTAGTACCAACAGGGGTCGAGGTCGTAGTTCTCCTTGCAAACCTTCCGAAAGTTTTCAAAAACGTCGCAGAGAAGGAGAACATCACTTCGATTGTAGAGATTGTGATAATCTCGCATCGTCTTCATTCCGAAGGTTTTCCATACTTCCTGTGCATGACAATATTCTTCTTCAGAGATACCACTACCACTGAGAACAGAGAAGAAAGCGCTGCGTGATGGAAGCTTAGTTTCATCAAGCTTGTCGATAGAATCCAACCATTCATAAGGATAGACACCCTTTCTCTTCAACAGGTCAAGCTTCTCTCCATCGAAGTATCTTCCTGTGTTAACAAAACAGTCACCCTTTTTGATGAGGTTGTTGACAAGCTTGGCAAGACCAGAAGCCATGAAGTTGAAGCTGTCAATGAACCTCAACTCTCTCTTGACATCAACGTCTTTTTCTTTCTTTTTGTCGAAAAACTTGTCAACCACAATGCTCTTAGTGAAGCTGATGTATTTTTCTTCGTTGTTGGGAATGCAATTAATATCACCTTCTGAAACGCCGAGATTTTTAATGAAGAGATGCGCGTCATAGTTTGTCAAGTTGTGAAAAACAACAGGAGTGAATTTCAGACGTCGAAATCTCAGGTTGCAACTGTTATGCGCAGCTCCTCGAAATTTGCCGGTATAATGACAATGATTACGAACCTTCATGTCTTCCTTCTTGGAATCCTCCTCGCATAACCAACAGCACGTCGCGTTTTCAAAGATCACAGCATCGCGGTCTGTGAAGAACATCTCTTTTGCGGGATGGTTTTTGTATATTGCCTTAGCCTCCTCTTGAAGCATGTCAAAAAATATCTGCGCAACATCCTCATCCTCAGACTTTGCTGTGTATTCAACCAGTTTCGAATGTCTGTCATCGAAAGAGCATTTAACAAAGTAACAAAAACTCCCCGGGATATGTTTCTGCTTCTTCTCGGTGTAACAAATCTCATGATTCGGTTGAACGGTGTGCAAAGGTTTAATAATCGACTCAAAGTCAGCATAGATGACGAACGGCATAACCATCTTCCTGTAGTGGTTTTTGAAAGAGAGAAAAGTCCCCTCCTCTGGTAAAATCTCTCTCACAGCCTCATGTTCTCGACAGAGTTCAAAATGTGTATCAAGTAGTTTCTGAGTTCCAAAAAAATTGAGGCATCTCCTGCAGATAAACCTTTTGTTCTTCTTCTTCGATAGGTCACCCGATACGAGCCGACTCAAATCTTTGATGAGACACTAATGCTTTTTCTCACCTTCAGAGATGAGAAGAAGATCAATGTGGATCTTGCTGCTCTCAACGTTGCTCACTCTCAAGGCATTGATCCTACCTTCATACTTGTAGACGTTGACAGCAAGACTTGGATTCAAAGTTTCAAAGCGGTGAATGCTCTTCACCTCCATCGGAAACTTAATCCCATCCCATCTCAATCTCTTTGCCTGCTCTCTCAGTGTCTTTGAGATACGCTCTTGGTTCTTTTCCACAGGATTCAACGCTCTTGTGACACACCATTTGAAACATTCATCATCCTCATTCTTCATGTTTATGATGGCCTTCTTTTTCGCGAGATGTGGTGGTAGCTTAATGTATGAATAGCCTTTCAAAGGAGTGTATTTCACCGTGTGCAAATCCAACCCTGTAATCGAATGCACAACCCAACCACTTCCCTCTCTTGTAAACTTAGCCAAACTCTCCACCATTTTATCAACACATCTCTGATAAAGCTCTTCTCGATCAGTCTCTTGAAATATAATCTCTATAAAAGAGACAAAATATGCAAGCTTTAGCACAGTCTCACCCGTCGCAATGTTTGTCTTTGACATGTTACACCTCAGAACGAGCACCATCTTGATATTCTTCTGCGTTAACAGAAAGTTGATAACGGTCGGTTTTACAGTCTGAAGAAAATCCATCGGTCCAAAACCCCCCACCCCATTAATCGTGTACTGCCTCGCGAACTTTTTCAATGAAGACTTGCTCTCAACAAGTGTGAAACGGTACTGGTCTCTTTTCTCGTAAAGCTTAGCGATATGTGTTTTGAAATCTTTCAACTTGTCATCAACTACAACTCTCGGCGCATCCATCTCCTTCAACCACTGACCCCAATCCTCCACCTCCCTCTTCCCCCAATCAACAGTCTTTATCTTTTTCACCAGCTTTGCTGGTTTTGACGGTTTCAAGATTTTCTGCTCCTTCGGAATCTCATGTTTAGGAATCGGATCATCGAGCAGAGGCCCTCCTGCTCTCTCCAAAACCTCTTTCTTATTGTCAAAGATGTTTGCTGCTATTCGACGCTTCGAGTAACCGCGAAGGTTCATCTCTTTTTTTCTCCATTGTCTGCATATCTATTATGATGTAAATATTTTTTTAAAATATTTTTGTTTACCATTTTCCCCCACTTTTCATCACTCGTTTCAAGTGATGAAAACTCTCTCTTGATGAGAGTGTGTTTAACGCTTTACTCTTTCAAACGGTAAGCTTCGAAACGGAGAGCAAATTTCCTTCCATCAAGTGTAATGAAGTTTCTTGTATTCTCTTTGCGTGATCTCAGCTTCGCTGCAAACCCTTCAGGGTTTACATTGAAGTGTTTCGCAGCAGCACTGATTGAGGGGAAAACGAGTTCTTCCCCTTCTGAATCTGTAGCTTGAAGTGTTACTTTTTTCCTCACACCAATGTGTCTTGGGCGAGGAGGTGAAGGTTTTCTAATCAGTTCAATCAACTCTCCTTTATTCTTCGTGGAATATCCTTGCAATCCAATCTCTTTTGCTTTTTCGAGGAGTTCGTTTTTCGACAGAGTTTCAAGATAATCCAACTCGGGAGGATTTTTGATCAGATCGATCAACTCTTTTTTGTCAAGTAAATAACATCGTTGCAGTCCCATCTCCTTTGCCTTTCTCAAGAGTGCACGCTTTGAAAAATACTCAAGCTCATCCATCTTATTTATTATCAAACATTTTTTTTAACTGTTTTCATTTTTTTTACAACGACTGTTGATTTTCAGGCAGGACCTACCCCCTGAAGTTTTCTCTCATCAATCCACGAGTTGAATTTTTCTGGGTAACCACTCCACTTCACGAGAGCTTGTGGGCCCCGGGGCCCACTACTCCTTCGAATAACCTTCTCAATGCAGAAAACATCCTGCTTTGCTCTCAACATCTCCTGTTCGTAGAAAGAACCTTTGATCTCTTCCCCGAGCAGATCCTTCAACTTGTAAGTGATCGGGTTAGAATATTGCACCTCGTCAACGACGAAAATCTCCTCTGTCCAATTCGGGGTAAATCCTTTGTCGAACACTTTTCGCTTGAATTTGGAGATTCGAACGTGATCGCCAACCGCAAACTTTGGCTGCTCTCGCAACCCGCTCAGATCGCCAAAGAGTTTCAGAAAGACGGCATTCTCATTCTTTTTCTTGGAAGCCTCT